TGGTTGCTTCCATGCTGTAGTTGTAGGTATAGGCTGTAGAGTAGATAGGGCGCCTGGCGCCATTCAAGAGAGAGAGCTACTTCGGGTTATGTTGTTGGTGTTGCCCTATTGGGCTTGGACATTGACTCACGACTTTTGCTGTATCGTTCTCAAATGGATGGTATCTTGGTTCTGATGTGCTATCTGCTCTTGCTTTGACTACTCGGACTTCAATGTGATTTTGCAATTGGTATCTTTGTGCTTCGTCCACATTCATGTTCCTTGCAGAAAACACATTAAAAACAGATGGATCCGGTAAATGGGGTGTACGGAAAGGACAGCGCTCCAGACACCTGGAGGTACGGCACCGAGACCCCAAAGTTCCGGACGCCTCCAAGCCCCAAGCCCCAGCAGGGTAGGTCCGAAAGGTTAGTAAGGGTGTCCTAGGTCTAAGTCGGGCCTATGTCCGGAAAATTTGAGTCATCTTACAGTCAGTCCGGTACCCGACAGAAAGATCCGGAAACTCCAGTTCAGTCCCCAAGTCCACAAAAATTGCAGCATGTCCCAGGAAAGTCCAGGAAGCTTCCGGACCGACAAAATGATTGCATCAGACAGGCAGCACTCACCGGTACCGGTCTGAAGCAGGCCAAGCCACAACCAGTCCTATATTTAGCTGCTATAGGGCAGCGGCTCATCAGTTGTTCATTCGTGAAGTTGCGGAAGCGACGCTGCAGCTTGTGTGACCAAGCGACTTGGGCAAGACTGCGCTCGAAGAAGAAGGGAGCACCGATGTCGACCATAGCTAGGGTAGTCATAGGGAAGCAGGGCGGCCGCAGCCGCCAAGGTCTGAGTCTGATCTGAGCGGGTGTATCCAGGGCCCGATCCAAGGCAGGAGAGAGAAAGGGAGAGGGAGCGACAGTAAGGCTGAGCGATACAAGGCAGGATAGATAGATAGATAGATAGATAGATAGATAGATAGATAGATAGATGGATAGAGAGAGAGAGAGAGAGAGAGAGAGAGAGAGAGAGAGAGAGAGAGAGAGAGAGAGAGAGAGAGAGAGAGAGAGAGAGAGAGAGACATGAACACTTTCTTTGTGTAGTAAAGATATCTTGTGTACCAATCTCTCCTGTGATTCTGTGTCTCGGCTGTTGGCTCCAAGTGTGAACACTTATCTGGATACTCGTTGCATGTATGTGCGAGGTTGTGGGAGATTGACTTGCGAATCATTGCACTGGTGTCGGAGCTGGATCCCGCTACATCCGCTTGGAGGAGCAGCGCTAGCAAGGAACAAGGCAGGCGGGCAGTAAAACAAAAAGGGAGGAAGAAGAACATTGGGGTTTGAGTTGAATAAGGGCCGAAGTAGAAGTGGCTTGGAAGTGGCGAGCGGCATACATATCTGCGAGCAAGGAGCGTCATCAAGAGGATGCCATCAAGCCTAGTGAAGTGCTTCTTGCCCTGGCCCTTGTCGTTCATGCAATTCATTTTTGTTTTGTTTTGTTTTGGTAACTTCCCTGAACTTTCCTAGAGAACTCTATTGCAATCAGTCCATTCTGTTGACATCAATCTGGTCGCACTTGACATTGCTGTTGTGTTGAGGATGTATGTTGACTGAACCCATTAGCTGGATGAATCACCCATAAAGTAGGGGACGTGGGCATGAGTGGCGGGCGCTCGTAAAACAACCCGGCTTGCACAATGACCGGTACTGACCGGCACGACCCTGAACCGGAGCTGACACAGTGAAGGGAGTACATTGATAGGTAGATGCTCGGCAGCTGGATGGATCACCCGAAAGTAGGGAGCATGGGCATCAGCGGCGGACGTTTGTAAAACAACCCGTCTAGCCCAAAGACCGGTACTAACCGGCATGCATCTAAACCGGTGTTGACACAACGAGGGGCTGTAAGTCTTGAAAACAAACCTGCATCTGGTGGCCACGACGTCTGTCTGCGTCGTTAAAAAATTGTTGAGGTCCTTGCCAGTAGACCGTAAACGGCTGGTTGGCCACCAGCTCTCCAGGGGAGTGTAGTGAATGATGTGCGAAAGGGCAGTAGGAGTTGTAGGGCTAGTAGGCCCCGATTTAGGTTAGGATTAGAGTAACGTGTTGAGGTAAGTAAGTCTTAAGGCTAGGTCTACGTGGTGAGGAAGCAGAGTCTGCCTACTGTGCGCGTATCTCACCATGGATGACTATCGTATGTTCAACTTCTTGGTCCTCAGTGTGATATGGGGGCCCCTTCTCTACACGCTCTTCCCTTTGGGATTCCGCCATGCCTTCGGGTTGGGTGTGGTGTCTAGATCCGATAGGTCCACGCAGCCGTATACCCTGAAGGAGCAAGCCAAAATTGATGCGAAGTTGACAAAACAGAAGGGAAAAAAAGCGGAAAGATTGAGAAAGGAGGAGGAGATGGAAAAGAAGTTGGAGGAGGAGGAAAAACAGTTAGAAGAAGAGAAGAAAAAGGTAGAGGAAAGGATGCGGAAGGAGATGGAAGAAGAGGCAAGGAAGATCGTCGAGGAAGAAGAAATTGACAGCAGATGAGGAGAGGTAAGACAACAATAAGAGGGGTAAAGCAGCCAGGTACAGCAGGATGAGGCACATCAGTGGCTGGTGAAGTTTGGCTTCCTCAAGGAGAGGTTGGTCGATGAGGAGAAGTTGGAAGCATTCAGAGCCAAGCTGCAGGCTGCAGACCCTTGCGAGAGACCCCTGCTGAAACAAGAGCGTGAGAGCACCATTAACACAAGGATGCTTGCACATAAGAGGAGGGAATTTGAAGAGGAAAAAAGGTTGACAGAAGAGGGGGAGGCGATCCGACAAAAGTTGAAGGAGAAACAAGAAGGAGAAGTCGATGTCAAAGCCAGATTAGAACTTCTCACCCAAGCAGTCCACTCCGCTCAGGAGAACACCGCGACCCGCATTGCCATAGAAAGGATAGAGGCCCACCAAGAGGAATTTAAGAGTAAATGGAATAACTGTGTTGTGGCAAACCTCCACCAAATAGAATAGAAGGTTGCCCACCATGCACATCGGTTAGAAGATATCCTTGTAAACAAACTCACAGAGGTGGCAGCCCAGATGAAGGGTGGAGGAGGAGGCCCTAGTGATGGAGATGGGGGAGATGATGGAGATGGTGGCAAGAAAGGAGGAGACAAGAAGGGGAGAAGAGAGAGAAAATGAAGGTGAAGTTCCGTTGGACCTTCACAGGGGCAACAAGTGAAAGTTTTGTGCAATGGGAGGCGGTCATGGATACGTACCTGTGTGTGCATTTGATTCCCCAGTTTGACAAGGTATTCATGGCAAATTTGTGCCTAGGGGGAGATTGCTGCAAATCTCGTTTTGTCTTTGATGAGAAGTGCGGGCTGCGAAACCATGGTGGTGTATTTGCGACAAACTGACATCCAAAGGTTATTTAGGGCCTTGAAGGAGAGATTTGAGGATAGGAACCAGGCTCGACGGATGAATATTTGCTCCTAAACATAGGGAGGCGTAAGTGGAGAAGTGTGCCTGCCCTTAAATCCACCATGGATGAGTTACTACAGTGTCCGGATCATGGCATGACCGCGAAGCAGATCCTGGAGAACTTCGCTAGAGCGTTATGTAGTCCCCTTAGGTCCCAGTTGTACCCCAAAACGAAGGACGAAAGCATGACCTATGAGAAGTTTAGTAAGGACGTTGTAGAGCAAGCCGGATTCCTCCAAAAGGCCAAGTTCTGCCACTATTATAAGGACTTACAGAAAGGGACGAGGTGGGAGGATAAAACCATCTCAGGTACCATCGAGAGTAAGGACAAATTCTTACAAACATTTGAGGGAGGGGGAGTAAAGGCACTCCCTTACAAACAGATAGATTTCGGCTTAGAAGGAGAAGAGGACAACCAAGTAGCCCGGGGGGGTGACTATGCGGCTGTTGCGGCTCGTGGGGGAGGGCGTGGAAGAGGCGGTAGAGGTAGACGAGGTCGTGGAAGAGGAGGACTTGGACAAGCCCTTTAGGGGAATGGGGGCAAAGGGTGCTCCCATTGGGGCGGTAGGGGTTAAGGATCCCCACAGGGCGGTCGTGGTTCTGCCTCCTATGGAGGAGGAAGGGGCAACAATGCCCTTGCAACCGACAGTGATAGCCGTAGGGATCGCGGATATACCCATGGCCTCCCTGCAGAGCAGAAGGGGAGCCATGGAAGGATCACTTCTTACTAACATTCGAGGGAGGGGGAGTAAGGGCACTCCCTTACAACAGATAGATTTCAGCTTAGAAGGAGAAGAGGACAGCCAAGTAGCCCGGGGGGTTGACTATGTGGCTGTTGCGGTTCGTGGGGGAGGGCGCAAAGGAGGTCATGGAAGAGAAGGACGTGGACAAGCCCTTTAGGGGAATGGGGGCGAAGGGTGCTCCCATTGGGGTTGTAGGGGTCAAGGATCCCCACAGGGCAGTCGTGGTTTTGCCTCCTGTGGAGGAGGAAGTGGCAACTATGCCCTTGCAAACAACGGTGGTAGTCGAAGGGGTCGTGGATACCCATGGCATCCCTGCAAAGCAGAAGGGGAGCCATGGAAGGCCCTAAATATGACACAGACACTGTGGCAAGAGAGATGGAGAAGGTGCTATGTCTTAAGTGCGGGGACCCCAACCACATCATTCCCTTTTGTCCAAAGATCCGAAAAGAAAAATGGAATGGTCGGTAGGAGTTGCAGCTGCTCTTACTAGGACTTCAGACGTAAATAGACAGGTAGAAGCATGCGCTGAAAAGGTAACCTCATGTCTGAAGGTCCCAACGACAGAGGCTGATGCAGGTTCCCACCTAAATAGCTATCTAGGTGGTTCCCTTGCAGGCGTGGGCGATGAACTGATCACTCGTTGCAAGGCCTCGGCCGAAATGAAGAAAAGTTCAAAAGGCCAGCTAATCACAGGAGATGTAGAGATTAGTAGGACGTGAGTAGGCGCGTTAGTCAATAGTGCATCGACCCGTAGTCATATAAGCCGAAAGGGATTGAAGAAGTTGCATCTCGACATGAGGGTGCAAAAGTTGAGCGAGCGTCAAGCAAGTCGTGATTAAACTGGCAGAGAATCGTGAAATGCGTGTAGAGGAGTACGTCGAAGGGATCAAGGCATACTTCTGGTTGGAGGGGGAGAAGAAAGTCGAGAGAGTGTTGCACTCCCTGGCCCTTCTAGTGGAAGACAACCTGCCCTTTGACTTGATCTTAGTGACGAACTAGGGGAACGTCCCGTATGCTGACGTGAAGATGGGCGAGCACGAGTGCTGGCTGCCTAGTCCCGAAGGGGAAGAAGAAAATGAGGTGGTTCCACAAGTATGGAGTGGAGTCTAGCTTGGCCCTCGGTTGCATGAGTACCCCTGTGTTCGCTAGGCACGTGGTCAAGGAGTATGTAGTTGACCAAGTCTCTGTTGCCTACGTCAAACTGGTAACTTAAGAAAAGCAAATGGAAGAGGTGATACCGCCCCAAGTAAAGAGTCTGTTGAAAGAGTTCGCAGATGGGGGAGAGAGCCCTGCAGGTGTAGTGGAAAGAGGGATTAAGCACCGGATCGAGACCGAATCCGGTTGTAGAACTCCGAAGGTCCCCTTGTACAAAATGCCTCCCAAAGAGTTGGACGGACTGCGCAAGCAGCTCGATGAGTTGTTGGAGAAGGGGTGGATTAAGCCTAGCTTGTCGCCCTATGTCGCGGCGATTTTATTTGTGCCGAAGAAAGGAGGCGAATTCCGTATGTATATTGACTATAGGGGGCTGAATGCGATCACTGCCAAGAACGTTGAGCCATTACCGCTAATAGACGATTTGCTAGACCGGGTGCAAGGTTGTAAGTATTTTTCGAAAATAGATATGAAATCGGGCTACCATCAAATAGAGGTAGAGCCCGAAGATCTGCACAAAACGGCGTTTAGGACCCGTTGTGAGGAAACCCGGGGAGGGGTCGCCTATTGTTCGCTGAAGCCAAGGGCTATAGTGCCTGTCACTCGCCGCGCCCGCTTCCGAGGTCCTCAGCAATCAACAGGGTATCGGCGTCTGCTCTACCTGCCACACTCCTACTTTAGAGGTGATCGTGTGAGCTCTCGCAGAAGACGGAAAAGGGATCGGGAAGCAAGTTAAAGTATAAAGTGAAGAAAAGGTAAGAAGGAAGAAAAAAAATATTAAGTATCATGGGCTGCTGATCCGAGTTGGAGTGTGCCTCCAATCTGTGGCCTCCTCCTCGGGATGGCAGGAGGTTATTCTTTGCTTCGCCCCTGAAATCAAATAAGCAACGATAACAATAATATATTCATGAAGTATTAATAATGCTCATTCTCGTTCTCCCTGGAGCAGATATGATTTGGGAGCCCCGCTTTCTGAATGCGTCATTACACCCATTTGTGAGCTTGACAGCCCGCTTCAGGAGGTTTGCAGAACACCAGGTACAAAGCTGAGATCTCACTCCCAAATCAAGAGCACAACATGTCCAACAGTGACAAAAAACAATTTTTAATGACCCCTCAAAAGACGAGGGTTAGCAAGGCCATTATGCTCTGCAGGAGTCTCAGCCAAGAAAAAACAATTCATCGACCAGAGCTGCATGTGTCCCCTAGTGTTAGAAGGTGTCTACCAAAGAGTAAATAGAACGAGTATGCTCAACAAATCTCAGAATGAATAGTAGGTCATACAAAATCCCTTCATAATGCTTTCCATTACCTAGTGGATCAAAGGGTTGTAGAACTCACAGTCTGACTGCTTGGTTTAATCCTCTGTAGTATTATCCCACCCGTTGACTGCGATCTGATGCGGTTCAAAATCCAAAATTCCCCCCCTTTTTGCTGCTCCACTTTCCACAGACAGGAGGCACCCTAAATTAGGGAAGGTCACAATTGCGTCGACTGCGTTCATAGCGCTTGCTTACGGATCTGGGAATGGCGAGTCGGTTCAATTGTCAGGACTCTGATCTCCGTCGCCATTACCCAATTAAGTGAGCTTATCCAGCCGAATGAGAATACGGACCGTCTCTCTCTCTCTCGCATGCCAAATCCCCCTTTTCCTTTCCCGACACTTTCTCTCCCGATCTCACATCTTCTCGGGTTCTCACTTTCTCTTTCCCTCTCTCCTCCTCTCTGCCTCCTTCTGCAGCGATCCAAGTCACAAAATGAGCGCTCCTACCTCTAAGTGATCGGGCAGTCCCCTCTCTCGCTTTGTTTGTCATCCACAGGAGAAGGGGGAACGTACCTTCACCGGTTCCACGCGCCGCGACAACACAGCTCTCCATCAAGACGATGGATGGGCACGCTGCTAGATGTATCGCTTCAACCTTGGTTACCTCTCGCTCGTTGTCGCACTTTCTTGCTTACTCGCCCCCCTTTACTCTTTGTTGCACTAATCGAAAGCGTCCCAAGACAGGCTCGTTAGTCCGTTCGTCCGTTCCCAGTTCAACAATAATCATCCAATTAACAGCAGTGCCAAAACTTAAGTTCTGGAGACTCATCTAATGAACCACAATGATCACCAAAAAATTGGGATCAAGGATGCAGTTTGGTCCTCAGACAATAATTCTAGTAGGAAAGGAACTGCAATACTAATCCCAAAGAACTCCAAGTTCTATGGTGCGCAGGAGCTGATGAGATCGAGGGCAGGTGGTGCTTTATGGACCTAAGATGGAAAGAAGAAGAATTCAGAGTGATCAGTGTCTACGCTCCCAACGAACGCAACGACAGATCTACTTTCATTGACTCCATAGGTCACCTAATTCCGCCCTTACAAGCATGCCTAATTGGGGGAGACTGGAATGCCACTTTGGACCCGGTCAACGATCGTATATCCAGAGCAACCTCACCACAATCCTCTCAAGAAGCAGCTCCAGGCCAAAAACTCATCTTAGACCACAACCTGGTAGACCCCTTTCGCACCTTGCACCCTACCACCAAAGCCTTCTTCCTTGTTAAGAAAAATCACGCCCACCACACAACATTCTCTCGCATAGACTACTTCCTCATCTCCGACCACCTCATGGGGACAGTCAAGGAAGCGGAAATATTGGCGTTGGCGCCGTACCCAGGCCTGGACCATAAACCTATTGAGCTGATCATCAGTTTCGACCAATATATCCAAAAGGGACGCAGTTTCCACAAACTGAATAACTCGCTCCTACTTAGTCAAGAATTTCAAGAAGGGATGTCGACGAGCTGGCACAATCTCAGAGGAAGCTTTGTCACAGGTCAGGACAGGTGGGACTGGTTCCAAAAAAGCTACCTCAAGCTAGCTGAAACAGCAGCTATAATATCAAGGAAAATGGCCAACGACAGGAAACAGCGGAAATTGATGCTGGAAACGGCCCTCAGAGTAGCGGAAAAAAACTTGGCCACCAACCCATCCTCTCCAATGTACACAGAAGTACTAGTTTTGACAAGAGAAGAACTGGCAGTATGGCGTCAGTGGGAACTGAGAGGACTCCAGATTAGAACCAGAATGACCAACCTGGAATTCAATGAACAGATGTCCAAACACTTCTTTTCCAGAATAAAGGCAAACAACAGATCCAACTCAATAGAGGGTCTTAAAGAGCTGACAGGCCAACAGGCAACTCGCACGGATAGTGAAGGGATGCTAGAGATCGCAAAGAACTTTTATAACGAACTGTATCGATCTAAAACACCAACAGTCACCCCCTCCAATACCTGAGCGGCAAGGTCAAAAATGTTACAATACTTAGAAAGGACAATATCTGAAGATCAAGCTAGCAAATTGGATCGACCGTTATCCATAGAAGAGCTACAGTTCGCGGTCCAAAACATGAACAACAATAAGACCCCAGGCATCGACGGACTAACAAAGGAATTTTGGGAGAAATTTTGGCCCCTAACGGGTTCGAACCTTATGGATTTCTACAACGACAGTTGGGAGAAAGAGGGTATGGGCGAATTCCTCAGTACCAATGTGGTTACACTTCTTTACAAGAAGGGTGACCGGGAAGACATCAAGAATTACAGACCAATATCCCTACTCACACTTCCCTATAAAATTATTGCCAAGGTCCTAGCCTTCCGCATATTGGACGTAACAGACAAATGCTTCCACATAGACCAGTCGGGTTTCATACCAGGCAGGTACATCCTTGACAATGTAATGACCCTCAACGAGGCATCCAAGAAAGTGATGGAGAAAAAGATGAGCACAGCGATTATTTTCTTCGATTTTGTAAAGGCCTACGATCAGGTAAATTGGGACTTCCTCGAAGCGAGTATGGAAAAAATGGGGGTAGGTCCCAACTTAAGAAAATGGGTCCGAATCCTATACAACAACGCCTCAGGCTGTGTTCAAATCAATGGTTTGCTGTCCGAAGGCTACCCTATCTCTAGATCAGTCAGACAGGGTGATCCGTTAGCACCGCCTATTTTCCTATTCGTTATGGAAGCCATAGCTTCTTTTCTCCGTAAAGACCCATCTATCCAAAGATTGCCTGAAATGAATGTAGGCTCCGTACACCACGTCGTATTTCCTACAGTAATCATGTTCGCAGATGATTTAACGGTGTTTATACGAGCCTCCAACTCGTCAATGGCAGCCTTAGTCAGAGCAATGGAAGCATTCGGCATCAGAAATGAAGATAAATTGGGTAAAGACGATAGGATGGTGGTTGTCTGACGAACCCGTCCCACTACTTCAAGGACCGGAGAACCAGATGTCCTGGGAGAGACCGGAGATACCAACAAGATACCTGGGGATCCAAGTGACAAAGGACGGCCCCGCCCCYCARATGGCACAGAATCTCCTASCCGGTCAAATCAACAAAATGGGGAAGTGGAGTCAATCATTTACGTCACTACTGGGTAGGGCACTTACCATTAACACTTCCATCTTCTCAATGATGTGGTACATAGCTTCAATCTGGACTATATCAGACCAGACCATCAAAGATCTGAACAAGAAAGCCAGAGCATACTTATGGTTAGGGAACCCCAACAAAGAAAACTACATTCCAAAGATAGCTTGGCACTATATTACAAGAAAACCAACAGAAGGGGGATTAGGCATTATTGACCCCAAACAAGAAATGAAAGCCCTGCAAATTAAGTGGGTCATTAAGCTTCTAACTAAACAAGCACTGTCGTGGAACAAACTAGCACTAGACATCATCAGGAACCTGGCTCCAACGGAGTCCCCCACTAACATGTCCGAATTGTTCTGGATCATGAATAAAGACGTGAATCCAAGATCAGGGAGGAGAAGACTCAATACTCGCAACCCCCCAACTCCTAACCAAGCACCTCCCCCCTATTGGACAGCCCTTCTACGCATCTGGAGAGAGATCATGCCCGAGAAACGAAACAAACCCAGGTCCAAAGAAGAAGTGCTCAGGCAACCTCTCTTTGGCAACCTTTGGATCAGGGACGAGGGAGACCACCCGTGGACTCTCTCCCACAGAGGCAACAGATGGCTATCTTGGATCACACACGGGATCTGGCGAGTAGGGGACATATGGAACGACGAAAGGAAGAACTGGCTGGACGAAAATGAGCTCAAAGCCCGTCTGAAAGACTGCCACCACAGGGATGAAAATCTGCAAAAGATTATACAGAGTATCCCGGGGGGCTGGGTTGAGCGGCTAAAGGAGGAATTCACGTGGAAAGCGGGTGAGTGGGGAATCCCAATCCAGGACACCTCCCCTGAGAGGGCCTACCAATTCGCCCATCGAATATCTGGCTCAAATCCAAGAGACGTATTCACATCCTTCCCGATAGTGAAGACTAAGCCAGACGAACCGTACATCCAAAATATCAATCCCGAAAGAGAAGTTCTGAATGCGTTCACGCTTCGTAAAATAAGAACATTAGGACTCTAGCCAAAACATTTATTTCAAATAGGGACAGCAATTCAAGACCTCTAGTTCGATCCCTCAGAATGGGCATGGCCCTCTGACAGAAACAGAACTACAAAACCACCAATCCCAATCCTACCCCTTAAGCGCGGTGGGCCCGCGGGGGGGAGGTCGTGTTCCGCTGCGCGCCGGAATCGGCCCGAAGTTTTGATTCGGTCCGGTGGATGAAGGCGATCGAGGGAGGGGCGTTGTGCAAAGTGGCGCGCGTACCGAATTGTTCACAGCGCTCCACTAAACGAGAGAGAGCGCCCACCGGACCGGGTACATGGCGGGTGTCGATGCGCATTCATATCTGAACGCGTCCGCTGTCGGATAGCAAGAAAGTGTCGTTTCGTGCCCCGGCCCCTTTTTTTTCTTTTTGATTTTGTGTTCTTTTTGTAATTTTGTATTTATCTTCTTTACTTTTAGTTTTTTTTTTCTCCTTCTGGCGTGTCGTTTTGT